GTGTACCACTCCTGGAGCTGCCGGGGCGTAAGTGTCTCGCGAGGACGCCCCTGCAGCTGCAGCTGGCCACTGCCAGACGCCCCCAACTGACCAGCTCCAGGGCGACTGCTACGACGGCTACCTCGACAGCCCCAAACCCTATACCACTCATCAAGCTGCTGGGGCGTGAGAGACGCGCAGGAACGACGCTGGAGCTGCATCTGGCCACCTGCTAATAGCAGGAGTAGTAGCAGTAGCGCGGGCAGGGCAGGCGCGGCAGGCAGGCAGGCAAGCAGGCAGGCAGGCAGGCCGACAGGCAGGCAGGCAGGCAGGCAGACAAGCCGGCAGGCAGGCAGGCAGACAGGCCGGCAGGCAGGCAGGCAGGCAGGCAGACAGGCCGGCAGGCAGACAGGCAGGCAGGCAAGCAGGCAGGCAGGCAGGCCGGCAGGCAAGCAGGCAGGCAGGCAGACAGGCAGGCAGGCCGGCAGGCAGGCAGGCAGACAGGCAGGCCGGCAGGCAGGCAGGCAGGCAGGCAGACAGGCAGGCCTGCAGGCAGGCAGGCAGGTGCTCACCAAAGGCTGGAAGAGCAGGCGCTCGCCGGGCGAGCAGGGTCGGCGCTCGACGGGCGGCGGCCGAGTAGGCGCACGACAGCGGCGACGTCGGGGCCGCAACAACGGCTGCAGAGTAGGGCCGCGGCAGCTGCAGGGCGGGACCGCTTCAGCGGCAGTCGCAGGGTGGGGCCGCGTCAGCGGCAGGTCGGGGTCGCGGCAGCTGCAGGGCAGGGCCGCATCAGCGGCAGGTCGGGGCCGTGGCAGCTGCAGGGCGGGGCCGCATCAGCGGCAGGTCGGGGCCGAGGCAGAGGGCCGCGCGCGGCTCGGCGCGGGCTGCGCTGACCGCGCACTGGGCTGCTACAGGCCGCGCGCAACCGCGCTACGCAGTAGAGGGCCGCGCGCGGCTCGGCGCGGGCTGTTGCGGGCCGCGCGCGGGCCGCGCGAGGCAGTAGCAGGCCGCGCGCGGCTCGGCGCGGGCTGCTGCGGGCCGCGCGCGGGCCTCGCGAGGCCGTAGCAGGCCGCGCGCGGCTCGACGCGGGCTGCGTGGGCTCGGCGCGGGCTGCGCGCGGCAGCAGCGGGCTGCGCGCGGCTCGGTGCGGGCTGCGCGCGGCTGCAGCGGGCTGCGCGCGGCTCGGTGCGGGCTGCGCGCGGCTGCAGCGGGCTGCGTGGGCTCGGTGCGGGCTGCGCGCGGCTGCAGCGGGCTGCGCGCGGCTCGGTGCGGGCTGCGCGGGCTCGGTGCGGGCAGCGCGCGGCAGCAGCGGGCTGCGCGCGGCTCGGTGCGGGCAGCGCGCGGCAGCAAGGGGCCTAACGGTCTGCAGGGGCTGTTCGCGGGCCTGAAGGGCGTGTAGGGGCGGCGCGCGGGCCTTACGGGCCTCTAGAAGCAGCGCGCTGGCCTAGGGCAGCAGGAGGCAGCGCTAGGGCTGCTGGACGGCGCGCGTAGTGCAGCACGTCACAAGGCAAGGCAAGGCAGGCAGGTACGTGGGGTAGCGCGGTAACCGCAGCGGTAGGTGGGCGCGAAAAAAAAAAACGGTCCTACGGACCTTAGTGCTCTGAAACCATGTTAGAATCTAGCAGCAGGAATGAATGAACTAGCAGGAAGATGGGTACAAGTAGGAAACCCTAATTTGGGTTGTACCCCATATGGGCTACCCCACTACAGCCTACACAATGAGCAGCATATATGTTTGACATACGCCACAGCCATGGCTGCACAAGAGTTACGCTGGCTCACCTACCTGCTGACTGACTTGGGAGAGCGACCTCGTTCTCCTCCAGTTCTGTACGTCGACAACAAGGCCGCCATTGCCTTGTGTCAGGAGCACAGACTGGAGCACAGAACGAAGCACATCGCTCTACGTTACTTCCTGGCTCGAGAGTTGCAGCAGCGAGGTCAGCTTCGTCTTGCTCACGTGGCCACTCGGGCCAACACTGCTGATATATTCACCAAGGCACTTCCGTCTGGTGATCATCAGCGCCTTTGTACTTTGTTAGGCCTTGTGCCTACGTTCTCGCACTTGTTGTAGTCTCTGCTTGTACTGTGATCTATATATATATATACCTGCATGCTTGCTCTTGCTAGGTAGTGATCACTGTGATGCTATTGTTGCATATATACCTCTGCATGTGAACTGGCCTTGTGGCTCTTTGCTAATGCTCAGTGCGTGTGGTGACGTTGTGATCCACCCTGAGCTTGTTTTGCCTTTCTTGACTGGTCTTGTGACCCCTTGCTTGTCAAAATAGGAGCTAGAATCATGAGCCATAGCTAGGTAAACCCTAGCTAGGCAAGAGAGAAACGAGCAAAGGAGGGCTTGCACTAGCAAGAATGGGGATACAAATAGCAAACCCTAGAAGGGTTGTACTCGCTATAGAGCACCCCACTACAGGCTAGAGCATAATATTCTGACACACCCCCATAGCCAAAGTGGGGTGTAATCAGCAGAGCAAGCAAAGCAGTACAAGCTCAGGGTGGATCACAATGTCACCACACATTCTGAGCACAAGTTCAAGAAGCAATAGTTTAAAGTTCACAATTATGAGCAAAGCTAGAGGCAGTCACAGAGGGCAAGTGAGGAGGAGGAGGGCTGGCGAGAGGAGAGAAGAGTGGAGGCGACGACTGAAGCTGCAGACACACGGGCAACAGACGGCTCTGGTGCAACTCTAGTGGCTACCGGGAGCAAGGGCCCCGGAATACAGGAGTAACAGGCTCTGCGTCTGATCAGCAGCGACAGGAGCAACGGACCCACGGGCGACAGGTGCAACCGGCTCTCTGAGCTACCGGTGGCTAACAGAACCCCGGAATACAGGCGCTGCGGACGACACGACGGCGGCCTCCGCTCAACCTCCCCCGACCGTCCCACACCCCTCTCACACACCCCCTGCTGAAACCCTAGCTCCACTCCCATGGCACCCCCCTTAAACCCTAAACCCTCGGCTCCCACACACCCACCCCCCTGAGCGGCAGCTGCAGTAGTGGGAGACGGAGGAGGAGGAGGAGCAGGGGACGGCTCACACTCACGGCACCCCCATACCCTCCACCCCCAAACCCTAACACAGGAACGCGGGCAGTAGCGGGGGTGGGGCGCCGGCAGAAGCTCGGGGGACGGACGAGGCGCGCGCACGGGCCTGCCGCAGGCCGGACGAGGCGCGCGCGGGCTGCCCGGGCCGCGCGCGGGCCTGGCGCAGCCCGTACGGGCCGCGCGCGGGCCTGGCGCAGCCCGGGCCGCGCGCGGGCCTGGCGCAGCCCGTACGGGCCGCGCGCGGGCCTGGCGCAGCCCGTACGGGCCGCGCGCGGGTCCCAGGGGCGCTTCGACGGGCGACGGGGGCGTTTCGACGGGCGACGGGGGGCGCTCCGACGGGCGACGGGGGCGCTTCGACGGGCGACGGGGGGGAGCGCTTCGACGGGCGACGGGGGGCGCTTCGACGGTGGGAAACCGCCGCGCGCCTCGGGGCGCACGGCGGGCAGAAAACCGCCGCGCGCCCCGAGCGCGCGGCGGGAAGAAAAAACGAACATCGCGCGCCACGGGACGCGCGACACACAGGAAGGCAGCGGAAGCAGGCGGGCCCACAGGCCAGGAGCGTAACCGCTCTGATAGCATGTCAAAATAGGAGCTAGAATCATGAGCCATAGCTAGGTAAACCCTAGCTAGGCAAGAGAGAAACGAGCAAAGGAGGGCTTGCACTAGCAAGAATGGGGATACAAGTAGTAAACCCTAGAAGGGTTGTACTCGCTATAGAGCACCCCACCACAGGCTAGAGCAGAATATTCTGACATTGCTCTCCCCCACTTTGCCTATGGGGGTGTGTCAAACATATATGCATGTTATATTTGTGTAGGCTAGAGTGGGTGGGGTAGCCAATATGGGGTACAACCCCATTAGGGTTTCATATTTGTAACTAAACCTTCTTTCTGACAAATGTACCCATTAGAGTACATAGCTAGCTAGAAGTGCTATATAAATAAACCCATTGTTATTGCATTCGAATCACCTTTTTTTTTTCAACTTATTTTAAACAAGGCCATTCCAATCCAAGACTTCATTGTCTTCTCTCTCTTGGCTAGCTTTATCCAATCCACCTTGATTCGCTAATTACATCAACAATTCTTGCCCAATTCATTACTGCATTTATTTTTGTTTTTTTAGGGTTTAGGGGTTTAGGTTTTATTGCATAGCATTACGTGAGCCTTGTGCAGGAGAACGAGTGCTTTCGCAAGCATATCCTATACCTTTAGGTTGCTTGTTTCAATGCCATTTTCTTTTCTGCTGTAGATCACTATGTACATGGTTACGAGAAATATCAAACTTAAACTGTACGGCTGCCCTGGGGCGTCGATGTGCAGACGATATCTAGATCGATCGAACGGCTCAAATTCCAATCCAGAACTGGAGTGAATGTGAGTGCTGTGGGCTGTGATGTTGGAAAGGATTTCAACAAGTGCCACGTCTACCCCAAACAAATCGAAGCGCGTCATGGGAAGTCCTTCATGTTGTCGCGTCGCAGATTCGTGGGCTGGATTGCGAGGGAGGTTGGTGAGACGAGCGACGGCATTTCAAAAATTCCCTGCCCTTTCCGACGCACCACTCTAACTCCCCACCTGCAACACCTCCTGCCGTGCTCTCTTGGCACACTGATACTGCTAGTTGTCTGAAGCATGGAGTCGAAATAGTTTTAATTTTCGTTACCTTCATTTCTGTGAACAAGCTTACGTGTTTAGTGTGGCCGCACAAGTAGTCCAGCTCTAGACAGGTCCAACGCACACATAGTTCGATGGCATGCGCTTATGCAAGTGTCTGCCGTCGTCGTTGTCGTCTCGCCCCGATGTGAAGCGGCAGCAAAAGCGCTGATGTCGACGGAGACGTAGCATTTCTTTTAGGATCTATTCGTTCTATCCGAACACAGTACGAACTAGGCACGCTTGGTCTCGCTCCTTCTTCCATGATGGAAGCCGTGCGCCGCGCTGATTTGCGACTCATGATGTCCGCGTGCCCGCTTGTATCCGCCGCGCGCACTACACGCGTGCACGCGCGTTACTGGAATGTCCGCCGACGGCTCGTGGGGTGCTGCCTTGTGATGCATGTCGTGCTGCACAGCAGCCTGGCGCACGCAGGCGGCCAGGGGTACCTGGAGGGCCAAGGCCGAGAAGGAGGAACAGCTTCGCAGCGGGTGTTGACGGCGCAGCAGCAGCAACAGCAAGGCGGTGGTAGCGTGACGCGGTTGTATCTTCTGCCCGGCAACCCGTACGGCGCCAAGTGTCTCGACGGCAGGTACGGCTCTGGTTGTGTTGGCGACAACGAGGCACAGATGTGCCACGCCGATACCAAGCGGAAATAAGCTGGTGAGCGACGAGAGGCGCGCGCAGCTTCCGAAGGTTCTGTACGGGGATGTAATCCCGCTCGCTTCCCTCCATCTGCCTCCCTCTTACTGCTCCTGCTCTCTGCGCATCAAACCGAAATCAATCTCCCACCACTTCTTGAATTGCTGTATCTCCCTGTCGCCCGCTTGCGTCCGTCCACTCCCCCTGGCCTCCCTGTCCGCCCTCCCCTTCTCCTTCTCGCGCGTCCCGGGTGGCGCGTGGGCCAGCCCCCCGGGGTACTATCACAGGCCGGGCTATGCGGCGGGCAGCGCAGCGTGGCACATCCACCTGCCGGGCGGCGGGTGGTGCACGACCATGGCGGGGTGCGTGCACCGCGCGCAGACGGACCAGGGCAGCACGCGCTCGCGCCCCACCGTCATCGTGCGGGGCGGCAACGACAGGGACGAGGGCAGCGCGGTGAGTGGGATAGCTGGACGGGTGGGCCAGCGGCCGGCTACATAAGGTGGTTGCGGTGGCTCACAGGCGGGGATGGCAGGCAACACTCTGATAGAGTGGCGGCGGGGCAGAGCAATTCGACGGTTGGTGGCACATGCTCGTTGGAATGTCGTCCCCCCTCTGCCCCATTCCCTCCGCCAGTCCCCGGCGCGCGGAATCAACTCCCCCGACCCGAAGGTGAACCCGCTGTTCCACAACTGGCACCTCGTGCGCCCCATCTACTGCGACGGCGGGGGCTTTGCGGGCCGCGCTGGCTGGCGGGCTGTGCGCGGCGGTGGCGGTGGCGGGGCGGGGGCGGCGGGCGTGTACTTGGACGGGTGGAGGATCATCCACGCCGTGCTCAACGGTGCGTGCCACAGCTGTGCGCCGTGCGCGTGCAGCAGCTCACGCGGCGGAAGCAAGAGCGAGCCAGTAGCAATAGCAGTTCATGCGGAGAGCGCCTGCTTGCGCGATAGGGGGAAAAGGCGGGCACGCAGGGACTGTGCGTGGAGGGGTGGAAGGTGTGCGTGCGGGATGGTGCTGTGCAAGGCATGAGGCACGCAGCACCACTCCGCACGCAGCACCTTCCACTCCTCCGCGCGCACCACTCAGCAGGAAGAATGCGTGGCGTTTAGCAGCGGTGGGGGTTGGGCGGGTTCACGTTGGGCAGCAGCTAGGGAGGCAGGTTGGGCTAAATGCTCTTGAACAAGGCTATTTGCTCCCCAACCACACACCACCTATCCTCACCATCGCTTAACCCACCCGTTTTCTCCCTCACCCTCTCCTTTCTGATTTCACGCATCATGTAATGCATGCACGAACACCGCTTGTCTGCCCTCCATACCCATGTCACCCTCATACGCAGACCTGAAGCAGAATAGGGGCATGGCTCAGGCAGGCAGCATTCTATTGACGGGCAGCTCAGCGGGCGGGCAAGCAGTGATAACGCTGTGCGACCGCGTGGCGCTCATCTTCCCGTCCGCCACCGTCAAGTGCATTCTCGACGCTGGCTTCTTCGTTGGTGCGTGCCCCGCCCTCCACGCTGCTCGCATGCCCTCTCACGCATGACCGCTGCGCCTCGCACCTGCCCCTTGTTCTGGATCCCCGTGCATCCCCTTCCCTGACTTGTGTGCGTGTCACCGGGCCTCACACGTCTTCCTCATGCTCTGATCGCATGCATGTATGCCCACCCTGCATGGCAGATGCGGAGGACCGGTGGCATGGGAATACGATGAGCACCATGGTGCACAACATGGTGGCCCTGCACGCCATGCGACTCAACCTGCACTGCACACAAGGTGCTCTCTCTCTCTCTCTCTCTCTCTCTCTCTCTCTCTCTCTCTCTCTCTCTCTCTCTCTCTCTCTCTCTCTCCCCCCCCCTCCCCCCCCCCTCCTATGTACCTCTTCTCCTCACTCACAGCTTCCCTTGTTAAATCTGGACTCACTTCCCTTGCCTGCTCCCTGTCCCCATCTATCAGCCTACCCAGTGCAAGAGCAGTGGCGCTGTTTCTTCGCGCATCGCTCGCTGCGCTTTGTGTCGTCGCCGCTGCTGGTGGTGAACTCGCTGCTGGACTACCGCGCGCTCACCATCGGCAACCAGCTGCGCCCCAGCGCCACCCTCGGCACGCAGTGCCTGCGCTCGCTGGTCAAGCAGGCCAACGGCGACATCAAGACCATGCTCTGGAGCAAGCAGTGGCGGCTGTGGGGCACCGTGGGCAAAGACAAGGCTTGGCAGGAAAAGACCGCAGCAGGGCGTGAATGTCAGCCAGCAGAGAGGAGAGCGGTGCTGAATGCTGCATGGAAACTGCTGCGCAGCACAGATGCAGCGAGGAGGAAGAAAGGCACGCAGATAAGCAACTTCGTGACAGTGGCTGTGGCTCACTGCTCCCTCACGAGCCCCAAGTGGACCGCTGTTACTGTGAATGGAACAAACTTGAGGGATGCAGTTAACAAATGGTGGCTTGCCAAGGCGCACAAGGTTACACCATCTACTGTCGGTGGTAACGCTCGCTTCAGGCACACTGGCAGCGCGAGGCAGAAGGGGAGGTTGAACGAGAGCAGAGGAGGGTCAAGAGGAGGCATGCAGAGGCAGGTGAAGTATTCCTCTGATTCACTGCAGCGGACTGGCTCTCAAGACCACGCAGCAGATATGGACACAAGAGATGATTTGAGACAGAGTAGTGAAGAGCAGAAAGAGAGTGATGCAGCAGTGGCTGTTCGGCATGGCTCCCCAAGCATACGGACAGGACATGCCACAGGTACACACCCTTCTCAAACTGGCCTGGGAAGCAATGACTCCCTCGGCGACTCGTTATCCGACTGGTTCAACTCATAACCCCTTAACCAAGCCCATTTCCTAAGTGTTCCTGAAAAGTTCACTAACCACCGCCAGTATCGTGAAATCGCTTTGTGTGGAAATACGGAGATGGTACATCTACCGTTATCCCTTGCATATACCACCCTAGGGTGTTAATAAAAAATCATCAAAGAAAATGTGTGCTTCTTGACAACAAAAAGAAATTTACCTAGAAGACTTGGGTTGGGTTGCTTCGTATGACATATAGGTACATGGGAAACTATTGTAGTGTGTTTCACAACTGTACCATAAAATTCCGGTTAAAAGCCTCGAGGTCTATTAGAAATTTATTAAAAAATGCTAGGTTGTTGATAGGTGGGCCTCATATTGGTTTTTGGGTACCCTGAGCACTCAGTGTCCCTAGGAGTATAACTCTGATTTTCCGTGTCGTGTGTTTAAAAACACTGTTTTTTTCAGGGTTTGGAAAAACAAAACGCTGAACAATCAGGGTGTTAACACCCTGATAAGAATCATAATCCATAAGCGAGTGGCAAAACCACTCCTAGCCAAGGCGCAAGGTGGCACTAGAGCACAGAGGGTACCGTAAGTGACTGCAGACGGTGAAAGCCTAGGCGCCGAACTTGGCGAACAGGGCTCTTGCTGAGATTTGGGCCTGTCTGACTGTCAAATGTTGTAGCCTATAGTGAGGTTTGTCTTAGGGGGTACAAAACTTAGGGTTAGCTATATGTACCCCAACCAACATCAATGCATCATCCATTTCTCATTTTGACATGGTATCAGTTAGGTTAGGATCCTGTGGGATCCCGTTTCTCCGTTCTCCGATCGTACCACCCGAGCCTGATCCTAGCTCTCGTTTCGCCCGTCTTGCCCGAGCCTAGTGCCGGCCCGATCTAGTCCCGTTCGTTCGTTACCGCTCGTTCTTCCTCCCGATCTAGCGTAGCCCGATCTAGCGTACCGCTGCAGGTCGCGCTGCGCTTTCCCCCCCCGCTGCCGTCGAACCGCGCTTCCCCCCCCCCCCCCCCCCCCCCCCCCCCCCGCTGCCCGTCGAACCGAGCTTCCCCCCGCTGCCCGTCGACCCGCGCTTCCCCCCGCTGCCCGTCGACCCGCGCTTCCCCCCGCTGCCCGTCGACCCGCGCTTCCCCCCGCTGCCCGTCGACCCGCGCTTCCCCCCGCTGCCCGTCGACCCGCGCTTCCCCCCGCTGCCCGTCGACCCGCGCTTCCCCCCGCTGCCCGTCGACCCGCGCTTCCCCCCGCTGCCCGTCGACCCGCGCTTCCCCCCGCTGCCCGTCGACCCGCGCTTCCCCCCGCTGCCCGTCGACCCGCGCTTCCCCCCGCTGCCCGTCGACCCGCGCTTCCCCCCGCTGCCCGTCGACCCGCGCTTCCCCCCGCTGCCTGTCGACCCGCGGTTCCCCCTGCTCGCGCCCTAGCCCGTCGCCCAGGCCCGCGCCCCAGCCCGTCGCCCTGGCCCGGCGCCTTTGCCCTACCCGCCCGCGCGCTCCTGCCCTAGCCCGCGCGCTCCTACCCTAGACGCCCGCCACACCTTACCTACCCGCCCGCTCTTGCCCGCTCTTCCTGCCCGTTCCCCCTTGCCGCTGCACCCTGCTTTCCCTGCCAATTCCGTTTGCACACTATGGCGACCCCTCGCGTCCTTCGTTTCGACGCTGACGGTAGACCTCTTGATTTTTCCGTCTGGCTTCTTCGTGCTCGCCGTCTGTTAGAGAGTCAGGTCCAGGCAGGCGAGACCCTCTGGGCGCACGCTACTGGTGCCCTACCTGCGCCCCCCGACCCTACGCCTTTAGGACCTGCCCCTGACGACGCCGCTAGAGCCCGCTTTGCCACTCAGCGAGCTGACCAGACGGCTTGGAAGTCACGTGACGCTGCGGCCTGCATCGCGCTCAGCAGCCTCCTCCCTGAGTCTGAGGAGGTTCACTTCACTCAGGTTCGCACCGCTGCTGAGTACCTCACTGCGATTAAGGCCCGCTACTCTACTCCCGCTACTGTCTCTCTTGGCCGCCTGTTCCTCCCGTTCCTGTTTCCTGACCTAGCGTCTTTTGAGCGCTCTGCTGACTTGATCGCTCACCTCCGCTCGCTCGACGCTAGTTACCGCGCTGCTTGCACTGAGGCACAGCTTGCACTGCTTCCTCCCCCTATGGCGATTACTATCTATTTCATCGCCACTAGCCTCCCTGACCGCCTTGCCTCCGTTCGTGACGCGCTTCTGCTGAAGCACCCTAGTGAGCTCACCGTCGAGGTCCTTGAGTCTGCACTCAAGGACGTCGAGAGCAACCTTCGCTCGGTAGCCGCTGCCTCTGGTGCTGTGCCCCCCCCACTCTTCCACGGGTGCACAGTCCCGCAGTTACCCACCTTTACTGCCTCACTTGCCACTGCCGCTACTGACGCGACTGCAGCTGCTGTTACGACTGCGTCGCGGTCCCGCGGTAGGAGTGGCAAGAAAGGCGGTTCTGGTGGTGGTAGTGGAGGTGGAGGCGGAGGTAGTGGAGGTGGCGTTGCGCCTGGCGGCGGTGGAGGTTCAGGGCCTGGAGAGGCGCCTCGTGCAGTGACTGGTGACTCCACTGCGCCTGCTGGTGGTGGCGACGCCCGAGTTCGTCAGTCGCCTCCTGTACTTCCTGCCCCGGTTGGTGGAGCAGCGGCGTGGTACCAGGCTCAGCGTCAGCAGCAGCTTCTGCAGCACCAGCAGCCCCTCTCCTCCCAGCAGCCTCAGCAGCAGCAGCGGCAGCAGCTGGCTCCAGGGTCGGGGCTGCGTCAGACCCAGCGCGGTGCTGTTTACACTCCCTGCACCTACCAGGTTCTGACAGGCACTCGTCGTGGCCACCCTTGTGGCCGGTTTCACCCCCCTGGTCAGTGCTTTGCTCAGCTCACTGACACGGTTCGTTTGGTCTACGGGGTTGGTGCTCCTGCCCCTGACTGGCTGCCTCTTGTTCAGCGTTACGGCTCCGCTCTGTGGGGCATGTCTGCTGAGCAGTTAGTTGATCTGATTGGTAATCCCCATGCTATGTATGCTGTTGTTGACTCTAGTGTTTCTGACTCTGTTTACTCTGGTGTTGTTAGCTTAGGTGCTAGCCTTGCTCAGTTGCCTGTTGCTAGTGTAGGTTCATGTGTAGACTCTAGTCCAGCGGCTACCTCAGAGGACGGTTCGCTGTCGTTCACGCTGGACTCTGGAGCCTCTCACTGCTTCTTTCGTGACAGCACGACACTTACGCCTCTTCCTGCGCCTGTTTCTGTGGCGCTGGCTGATCCCACTTCGGGACCAGTCACCGCGCGTCACACTACCACCTTGCCGTGTCCGGCTGCTCCTTCTGGGTCTCTCACTGGGTTTCACGTCCCCTCGTTCTCCCGGAACTTGGTGGGCGTGCGACCCCTCGTGAGTCAGCACGTGGGTGTGTGGTTTGAGCCTTCTGGAGAGACTGCGGTGTGTGTTGACGGGGACTCTTACCAGCCCCTCGCCACTTTTGCTGCTGAGCCGGGCTCCGGTCTCTACACTCTTCACACTGGCCCGCGCGCTCAGCAGCGACTGCAGCAGCAGCAGCAGCCGCAGCAGCAGCAGCAGCCGCAGCCACAGCCGCCCCTCCTGCCCCCGGCCCCTGTTTTGCCCCCCGTTCGAGTCCTCGCGTCTCACCAGGTTGCTCCGTCCCCCCAGGTAGCTGTGTCTTGTCAGGTTCCTCCGTCTAGTCCGGTCGCTGCGTCGTGCTCCTGTCGGTCGCTTGCCCACCCCACCGTTTTGTGGCACCACCGGCTGGGGCACCCTTCTCCTCCTCGTCTTCGCGCTATGTCTCGTCAGCGTCTTGTCTTAGGTCTCCCGCGTGTCTTGCCGTCGTTCCGCCGTCCCTTGCGCCACCGTGCGGTCCTTGCGTCGAGGGTAGGCTGCGCGCCACCCCTCACTCCTCCTCCCTTCGTCCGGCCACCGAGCCTTTTGAGACGCTGCACTTGGACGTCTGGGGCCCCTCTCCTCGCCCTGGCCCTGAGCGTGAGCGTTTCTTTTTGGTGGTCGTTGACGACTACTCCCGCTACACCATAGTGTTCCCCCTGGCGAGGAAGTCTGAGGTGACTTCTACGCTGATCAGGTGGTTGCTTACCACCCAGGACACTCGTGGTCGTCGTGTCAGCTGTCTCCACTCCGACCGCGGGGGCGAGTTTCGCTCCGGCATTCTCGCTGGATTCTGTCGCGAACAGGGCATTCGTCAGTCCTGGACGCTTCCGGAGTCCCCACAGCAGAATGGGGTTGCTGAGCGTCGCATAGGCCTGGTCATGGAGATTGCCCGCACCTCCTTGACTCACGCCCGTGCCCCCCATTTCCTGTGGCCATACGCGGTCAGGTACGCCGCGCACCAGCTGAACCTCTGGCCACGCGTCTCTCGGCCGGAGGCTTCACCGACCAGTCTTTGGACAGGGTCCCCTGGTGTCGCGTCGAGGTTTCGTGTCTGGGGGTGCTTGGCTCTTGTCCGCGACACCTCAGCGGACAAGCTCTCGCCTCGCGCCGTTCCTTGTGTCTTCCTTGGTTTCCCTGAGGACTCCTCTGACTTCACCTTTTACCACCCTCCCTCTCACCGGTTCTTTGACTCCCGTGACGTCCGTTTCGAGGAGTCCACCCCCTACTACGTCAGGTACCCCAGTCGAGGTCTCCCGGTCCCTCCCCCCCCTCTCTTCCTGACCGCCGCTCCCCCGCCTGCTCCCCCGGTACAGCCTCCCCCCCTGGTCCAGCCCCGTCTGGTGTGTCTCAGGCTAGCCCTCCCCCTTCGGTAGCCCCCCCTGTACAGCCTCCCTCCCCACAGTCTTCCTCGCCGCCTCCTGCAGGTGCTCCCTCTCGGGAGGTTGGTCCTGCGACTGTCCCTGTACAGGTCTCTGGTTCTGGGGGTGCTGGAGTTGGAGCTGAGCCGCGGGTTGCAGAGGACTCTTGTCTTCCGGGGGCTGGTACTGGTCGTGCGGAGTCTGGGGGTGCTGGTGCGGAGTCTGGGGGTGCTGCGTCTGGGGGTGAGGGTGTCCCTTCGGTTTCTGGAGAG